CTTACCTGGTCTGGCCTACATGTGACTCCAGACCCAAAACAATATGGGTTGATTCTTAGATAACAAGGTGTAGAGCTGGATGAACACAGCAGGCCAAGCAGCATCAGAGGAGCAGGAAGGCTGACGTTTCGGGCCTAGACCCTTTTTTTTCTGAAGAAGGTTGATTCTTAACTGCCCTCTGGGCAATGAGGAATGGGCAATAAATGCAGGTCTCCCCAGTAATGCCCTCATCCTGTAAAGAATACATTTTAAAAAATCTACTTGTGTCCTCAAATCCACATTGCTACCTACCTACAGTAACCTTTGACTCCCTTGTTAGTCAAGAATCTATCTACTTCTGCCATAAAAGTATTCATGGATCCTGCTTCCAAATCTGTTTTATCTTTGGAGAAGAGAGCTCCAAAGACTCTCAACCATCTGAGAGAAAAAAATGCTCCTCATCTTCATCTTAAGTGAAAGGCTGCTTATTTTTAAATTGTGTCTCCTCATCCTGGTCTCTCCTACAAAGCAGATTTATGCATTCATTATGTCAAGTATGTTCAGGATCTTGTATGTATCAGTGAGATCACCTCTCATTCTTCTAAACTCTAGTGATACTGGCCCAGTCTGTCCAACCTTCCCTCAGAAAATAACACAACCCATCCTAGATACCAGTTAAGTAAATCTTCTCTGAAGTTCTTCTAATAAATGTACTTCCTTTCTTAAGTAAGGAGACAATACAACAGACATGGCCTCACCAACATTCTACCCAACTGTGGAAAAGCTTATCTAAAATGATTTAGACTTCACTCCAATGCCATTGGGCAGATGTGTGATCACTTCAACCTTTTCCATCCCAATGGACACTATAATTGAGAATTATCCCATATGTATTTTAAACCTATCATCACTTTCAAACTAATATCAGGTGCTCACTTTAGGTGATGTGCTTTTCAAATATAAATAACTCTTAAATTATTCCTGCTGCTATCTAGGAAAATAATCTCATACCTAGCCTATTTTGAAAAGCCAGTTGGTGAAAGACAGAGCAGTTAATCGTTATACACTTGTCTATTTATTTACAGTTACAAATATACACCTCCCAACCCAAATAACTGCAGTATTAATATACTACTATTTATGGAAATGTGACTGAATTCTAAGTAAATACCCAACAAATGTGCACAGTTGAACTTAATTTTACATAATTAACAATGCCAGCTATGGTATTTGAATGGATGCCAAGTTGGGCAAGTTGGACTTATTAAAAGAAAATGAAAACCTGGGTGTGTATTTCAACAAAGTGTGTTCCCCACTTTTAAAAAGAACGCATGTCCTTGTAAGAAGAAAAGAAAAAGCTTTAACTGTTAATTTTCAAACATTTGTACAAGTACAATTAAAACATTGCATCTTGGTTCCTTTCAGCATGTAAACTTGAATCCCATTTCTGTCATCGTAAGTCACTAGAAACAGTGAAGGAATTTAAAGGAAACTTCATGTGTTGGAAGGGATCAAAAGGATATGGTGGGCCTTTCTCAACAATGTGTCCTTATTACAGGTAGGTAACATTTTCCTGAAAAGAAACATTGATGAGAAAATAAAATGTGGAATGTTCTGAAGCGTTCAGTGTGATCTAAAGGCTGAGGTTGATACTGCTGAAGTTCATGAAATGGCCAGTGATAATCATCATGAGCTGTGTGAGAGGAGCATGGAAAGTTTGTTGCAGAAACACACAGAAAACAAATTATCTTACAGAAGTTGAGATGATCTTTGTGGCAGACATCCTGAATATTTGATTACGTGAGAGACGAAGTAAAGAGGCTCTAACCATAATTGGATGGGCAAACGCTAGCAGCACTTGGAAGGTGAACAATGTAACAAGAAAAGACAGCAGAGTAAACTAGATATCTACTAACCTGCTAGTTTAAGCTGTGGATGAACTTGTCAATCCAATAATTCAAGGTAAAGTTACTGAATGCTTAGAGGAGAGTGGAATAATTATGACAGCCATCAATGACTGCTTAAAGGCAAGACCTGCTTGACAATATAATGGGAAATTTTTTTGATGAAGTGATATACTGACCTGAATTTAGCAGTCTGCAGCAAAGAGCTGACCTCAAAGAAGGAAGCTTACAAGGATTTAACCATCTGTTGTATGGATTTCTCCTTTCGCAAAGTTAGTTTGCCTTTGGCATTGGGTCAAAGGGATCTCCAGGCATCCAACAACAGTGGTACTGTTAACTAGCTAAGCAGCCATCACAATGAAGCATTCTCATAAATGGAAAACCAGGATGTTAAAAGCACTGATTTATCCATAGCTTCTAGTAATATTTCATAGAAAGGAAAATAAATATCGGAACATTTACACGGGTTTAAGTTTGAAGCTAAGATGTTGTAAATTATATAAAAAATGTTTTTGAATTATTTGTAATTGTTTTAACATAATGAAGAAAGTTAGTGCTTATGAGGCTGTTCAGTAATAATTACGAACTTCGAGCACTGTCAAAAAGCAAGCTGCACCTCTTACAACAATGTTTAACCTTTTCAACAGGTTTTACAGTAAGACTGCTGATGTCAAAACACAAGTTCTCACAAGCTTAGTGATTTCAATTTGTTTGCAGTCTGTGGGATCTTCTATACTGCATTCTGTGGCGAAGCATAGAATCACTGACAGCCCTTTTTGGATTTCCACATTTAACTATGCATGTGTAGACTCCAGAAATTGCTGTCGGTTTGAGAGGTGTAATTAAGGCAAACACTGAAAGTTTTGCCATCATTAGCACTGCAGAGTCCAGATCACTGTATAGTTCAGGTTCATATAGTTTATCTACTGGATATGCATTTTCAAAAGGCATTTGAAAAAATCTCAAACTGACGGCCCATTAAAAAAAATTAAAATTTCACCAGGTTTCTATGGGGAAAGAAGACTATTTGGCCATCTTAATTAATTCTCAGGATAGCACTGCATTCCTACATTATTGAATAACACAGTGATAAAATGTTTTTAGCTACAATGTGAAAGGATTTGGTAAAGGATCAAGTAGGTGAACTTGTTTTTACTACACTGCACGTGATTTTGTAATATAAAGATATAAGATTAGATATTATTTCATAATATTGTATGTTCTGAGCATGGAAATAAATTAATTACTCCCAGATATTATATTTCTTTTCAGTTGGAAGAGAGTTTATAAAACACACCTTGCTCGATGCTACAGAACAACTTGCCCAGGTATGTATTGCTGACATAAAAGTTCCCACACATTATCCTGGTTATATAGCCCATTTTGTTGTTCATTTGAAGCAGTTCCCTTTTATTCATGTAACTGTGATAATAACTGATGATTCTGGTAAGATACTTGTATAAATTACTATTAAATTGCCTATGGCATTGCCAATAGGCAGCTGTTTTTGTAAGGTCTGGGCTACTACTCTATCTTACACCTGCTTGTAAATGAAGTGGCTTTTTATAAATCTAATTAGTATAAAAAAGCACAATCTTGAAAAGCAATTTGAGAAGCAGCCCAGGAACGAACTCATTTTCTACTTGGACTCAATTTAGTGATCTTTATTGACACAACAGATCTTTCAGCATGGTCCCACATGGCAGATTGGTTAAAAAAAAAGCCCAGGGGCTCCAGGGGAGTGTAACAAGCTGAATACAAAATTAGCTCAGTAACAGGAAATGATGAGTGATTTTAATGGGTGTTTTTGTAACTAGAAAGGTGTTTCCTGTGGTTTGCAGGATTCAGTACTAAGTCCCCCATTTTTTGTGGTATATGTTATCAATTTGGACAAAAATGTAGAGGCAGGATCAAGAAATTTGCCGACAAGATGATATTTAGCAGTGTAGCTGATAGTGAGGAGGATAGCCGTAGACTTCAGGGGAACATGAATGGATTGATCTGGCAGGCAGACATGCCAAATGGAATTCAACCCAGAGGAGTGTATGGGATGCATTTTGGTGAGGTCAATCAAGGCAATCAAAACGGATAATGTCACACTAATTCACATTTTATTCCATCTGCCATGCTCTTGCTCAGTTCTAAGTCTGATTAAATCCACCTGAAGCCTCTTTATATCCTCCACACAATTCCCGTTCTCACTGAGTTTTGTATCGTCTGCAGATCTGGGATCACTACAATTGATCCCCATTTGCCAAATCATTCAAATGCACTGTGAAAAACTGATGTCCTGGCACTTATCTTAAAAGTACTCGATTGGTCACAGCCTGACAACATGAGGATGTCCCATTTATTTGTATCCACTGCTTCTGTCTGTTAACCAATCCTCAATTCATGTTAGTATATTAACCCCAATTCAATGCACTTTAATTTTGTTTTCTAACCTCCTTTTTGGAACATTATCAAAAGCCTTCTGAAAATCTAAATACACCATATCCACTAACTTCCCCTTAATGACCCCGCCAGCATTATCCTTAAAAAAACCTCTATCAGGTTTGTCAAACATGATCTTCCCTTCATAAAATCATGTTGTTACTGTCTATCAGATAATTATCCTCTAAATACCCAACAAGTGCATCCTTTACAATAGGTTCTAGTATTTTCCTGACTACTGACTTCAGACTGATAAGCTTGTAGTCCCCTGTATTCTCTCTCTCCCTCCTTTCTTAAATAGTTGGGTTACTTTTGCAAACTTCCAAGCTGCAGACACCAATGCAGCATTAATAGAATTTTGAAAGGTAATCACCAATTCACGCAGGATATAAAGAAATGCATGCATGTAACTTTTTATGCCATGGATATATATTTTTTGTGATATCTTCTAATCCTACTGGCTTGCATATTAGTTGTGGATCTTTATCAACTATTTCCAAGATGCTGTTTCAGAGACGTTAGTTTATTGTTGATAATAGATAGTAGCAGTGAAATTCTTAACAATGCTTGTCTAAAATCCTTAATAGATCCCTGTGATTCACAGCCTTGTCAATATGGAGGCACATGTATTGCTGAAGACTTTGAAAAGTACCACTGCGTGTGCCCCACAGCATTTGGAGGAGATGTTAATTGTGGTAAATTGTCTTCACATTTACTTAGATATTTTCGCTAAATGTGTGCATAGATGTTTTCATGCAATCCACTTGCTCTTTCTGTTCCTTAAAATTGTGCTTTATTCAGCATTGTGAGTATTTAGTGCAGCGTCCAAATTTGGTACCACCAGTTTTACATAAACCCTCAGTCAATTCATCATTGTTTCAATCAACTAAATACTGTTAGCACTATATATAGTTTGCCAGCTGGAGGGCTATACTTTGGACACGAATTATGCACCAAAATTGATAGATTGAGAATAGCACATTGGAATTGCTGTACTTGTATTCAGTGAGGACAGTTAAACCGCAATAGAATTTAAGTTGCCTGAAACATTGCTGGAGTTTCAAATCATATTAGAAGTATTACATTTTCCCCAATTATGCATACTTTAAAGGTTCATGTCATACTAAGGAAGTTAGTAAAAAAGATGACAATACTTCGCGAGATAGCAAGTTGTGAATTCTGGCTTTATTTTAATGTCATAGTATATTTAAATAACCATTTTCATGGATGCAAATGGAACAATTTAACCTCATCAAACATACCAATGTTAAAAAGCTCCTGAGAAATTGTGTGACATGTTGAAACATCAGTTTGATTACTTCAGAAATTTGAATGCATATTGTAATGACCGGGCATTTTGGCTACACAGGTTTATGCCCAAACTGTGATGATAAATATTATCCCGACTATGTAGTCACCAGGTATTTCCTGCAAAGAGGCCATGAGAATTCATGGGTGAATCCATCCAGCATCTGGTCATACATAGCCCCAGTAACCACATTAAGTGTAGCATTGACCCCACTGAAATAATTCCTCAAAGACCAGTATCCCGTCACCAAATCACCATTTATTATATACACATGGAGAGTCCTTGACACTCATCCAGCTCCCTCAGAGCCAGCTTTCAGAATGAACAGGATGTCTGACACTCCTGGTCTTATGTGTCAGCAAGGGCTCCCTGATTGGACCAGATTAACAGCCCCAATCAGGGAACTCATATTCTATGGGTCCACCTGTCTGACCTTGTTACAATCACTCCATCTATCTCAGAGAAGAATCGGTGCCTGCTCTCTCAGTCAGGAATGATGCCAGGCTTGTTAAGATTTATTTCTTTATGCAATTGGCAATCAATATTTGTCTGTGACTGGTAGCAAAAGTGGTTGCAGATGTAATATGAATGTTCAGAAAATTACTCATTTATTTTATTTATTCATGGGATATGGGTGTTGTTGATTGGGCCAACATTTATTGCCTATTCCTAGATGCCCTTGAGAAGATGATGATCAGCTACCTTTGTGAACTGCTGCAGTCTATTAAGTGTAGGAAGACTCACAATACCTTAAGGGAGGGAATTCCAGAATTTGGACTCAGTGACAGTGAAGAAGCTACTGAATCTTAAAATTTCAGAATAGAGCTCCTGACTGCTGTGATAAAGGTGCCACAGTTTGCTTTAGAGATAGTAGGAACTGCAGGTGCTGGAGAATCTGAGATAACAAGGTGTAAAGCTGGATGAACACAGCAGGCCAAACAGCATCAGAAGAGCAGGAAGGCTGACGTTTCGGGCCTAGACCCTTCTTCAGAAATGGGGTAGCTTCCAGTAGCTTCTTCACTGTCACTGAGTCCAAATTCTGGAATTCCCTCCCTTAAGGTATTGTGGGTCTTCCTACACTTAAAGGACTGCAGTAGTTCACAAAGGTAGCTGATCATCATCTTCTCAAGGGCAACTAGGAATAGGCAATAAATTCTGAAGAAGGGTCTAGGCCCGAAACATCAGCCTTCCTGCTCCTCTGATGCTGCTTGGCCTGCTGTGTTCATCCAGCTCTACACCACAGTTTGCTTTCCCTGACTGTTGTGTGCTATGAGGGACCTGGCAGAGTGAAAATATGGCTCCACATTTCTGAAGGAGCCCTGATCAGAATCTCCTGTGAGAAATGTAGAACACTTGTTTAAAAAACAAACAGGACGGCAATCTGTGTGAGATTGTCACTCCTCGGAAATCCAGCCCAATTATCTTAAATTTAAGTTGGATTATTTTATTAGGATTCGTGGGACAACTCATTGTTATTACTGGTATCCTACTAAGCTGCTGCATGAGTGACCATTGTTAGTGCAGAGAAGAACTGGTCATGAGATTATCATTAGTACAGCAAAAGATTTAGTGTGATATCAGTGGGAAATGTGCATGAGGTATTATTTTCTGATTTCTTTTCTAGTGTTGTTCGTACCTGAATTTCCATCATGCAGTGCCAGTGGATGATGGCACAGATCTGCCCCTATTGTATTTTTTAATTTAGTAATAGGCTGTGCACTATTGACTGCCACTAGACCAACTAGTTTCCTTGATGGTTTAGAGAAATCCTTAACCAGGTCTGATTTGTATCCATTAAGTACAGCATTACTCAGCAAACAAGGTTGATGTTTTATCATTTGTATTTACCGATTATAAATAAGAAAACAGACTTACTAACTCCATCTGATTGACTAGCATCTGCTTATCTTATCTGCTTATCAGCTGTTATCTAATTGCACTGTGCCTCTATGTCTGCCATCAGAATGCTTTTCAATGTATGGTCTGATACCATTACTTTGAGACGGTCACAAGAGACTTGGTAGTTAGAAAGCAATCATCACATTACGGATTTAGAAAAAAATACAAGGTTATGATGTTTTGCCTGGTTAGCTATCAATCCTTTCCTTACTGATCCTTTTAAATTAAAAAAAATGCACACTTTTATTCTCAAAATATTCTGTACTATTACACAGGCTAACTATTACAGTGTAATGGATAAGACTGCAGTGCAGTCAATGCTTAACCTCAGCAATTTTGGTGCAGGAGCCTGAATAAAATGTTTCGTGATCCCAACCTTTGTTGTTGGACAGTTCATAGATTCATTGTATCAGGAGGCCTTTCAATCCATCAGGTCTTTGCTAGGTTTCTGTAGGGTCATCCACTACTCTATTGCCATCATTATCCAACTGTCGGAAAGTGTCTGTGGTGTTAATGAAATAACTTAAAACGTTTTCATACATGGTACTTTCATGCAGATGTATTTAGAATGTTTTATTCAATTTAACAGCTCCACAGCAAGGCCTGGACTGCAACGTGGATCTTTTGCTACTGATCGATGGCTCTTCCAAAATGACCCATGAAGGATTTCTTCAGCACAAAACATTTGTGAAGCAATTTCTCCACACTGTGCTGACTGCAGATACTCAAGTCAATGTTGGAGTGGCACAATTCAGTGATGGTGTCCAGATGGAGTTGCCAATGGGTCAGCACAGTGATGTGTCAGACATTGGTAAAGTGATCGATTCAATGCATTTTAAAGGGGGCAGCACAAAGACTGGCAAAGCTCTGCATTACCTCACCCAGATTGGATTCAAAACTAGCTCAGCACTTGTAAAAGATCATCCCCGTGTTTTAGTTCTGCTATCTGACTCAAAAGCAGAAGATTCAGTTGCTGAATCCGCCAAAAATGCGAGGAAACAAAAGGTCTTCCTTCTTGCCATTGGTAGCCAGAGCCGTCAGTCTGAACTGGATGGAGTTACAGGAAATCCACAGCATACTATCACGTATTCAAATCCACAGAGCCTGTTGAATAAGATTCCTGAACTCAGCACAAAAATCTGCAGTGTTGGTAATCAAGGCACGTACACTTTCCTAAACTTGTCCTTCGCTTTTGCCTTTTCCTCAGATAGGAGCACAGTATGATAGAACATGGGTGCACAGACATATTGTGCTATGAGCTCAGTGTATGTCCCACATGATAAGTTTCCTAGCTCGTCAAAGTTGTTAGGTGGAAGTACACCATATGGAGGTAAGTTTTTGTGTACAGACAGAGGAGAAGACCTGTTGCATATCTGGGTGCAATAAAGAGCTTTACTGATGAAACCCAAAGCGCTAGGCTTTTGCCAACCTGTCAAGCAAAGAGCTATGCAAGATGCATAAGTCTAAAGATGTGCAAGTTAGGTGGATTGGTCATGCTAAATTGTCCATCGTGTTCAGGGATGTGTAGGTTAGCTGCATTAGCTATGGGAAAATGATTCTATGATTCTATGCAGGGCTAACAAGACAGGACTTAAGGAAAACAATACAGGTTGTAGCTTTTATTTAACACTAGAGAGATAGCTGTTGTCTATTTCTATTTTACATTTCCGTTAAATAGGCTAACATATCACTTTATTGAGGGTAAAAGATGAAGATTTTCAATACTGCAATTCTCATCAAAACTTTAGGAATCTCTCAAACTCTGCGTAATGAATTTTTTTTGATTGGTATCTCAGCGTCTCATCTCTATCAGGCAAAATATACTCTCTGTCAGACAAAACATACAATGTTTTGTCGCACCCACATTATAGGAAAATGCCAGGAATGCACTTCACAGTTTTTGTTACAACCTCCAACAGGAACAGTGCAGCTATAATATTACAAACATTCTGAGGAAAGAACCAATCTGTTTTTACAATTTGGCTGAGGACTAAAGTTACCCTTCAAACCCCCTTTTCAAAAAATTCACCCTTGACCCTTCTAGAATTGTTGAATGCCAATTCATCTCTGGCAGTTTTTATCACGCTGAAGCCCTTGTACATGTCATTGCCTCACAGCACTCCCATAACTTGCTGCCTGAATCCTCCAGTTTGTTTCTTGAACTCCTCACAGCATCAAAACAGCCCCAACCAAAGCCATCATGAAAGGTCCTGTTTCAGTGTGGTGTATGTCCTAACTCCTTCTTCTCAGCTTCAGCATTAATAGTGCATGTTTGTTCCTTGTTCTACATTTTACCATTGTCACCTGTTTTCATATGATTAAATGGTATATTCCTATTAAGCTGAATATTACTCATTCATATCCAGCAAAGACCATCTGTTTAAACCCCCATAACAGTGTCCTCCTGGCCATGTCCATCCTTTTCTTTACCTTGGTGACATCAACCATTGGCTGCACTCAGCTCCCAAATGGATACCTTGATCCTTCAATTGTTTTGACACTGATCAGCCATTGTGTCTGTATCCAATTATGAATAAATCACAGCTTCCTTCAGTTCACAATGGAAAAAGAAAGACATCATCTTCAGATCTCACTTCATTGCCACTGATTCTTCTCCTTTCCCTTAGTACCATCTGAAGCAGTTAATTTGCAGTCTTGGAGTCCTGTCTGACCCGAGCTGCCATGACAGAAACCTTCATTATTTCAGCATTGATTGCCTCAGACCCACTGCTGCCGTTTAAAAGCTGAAACTTTGGTATATGTCATCAACACTTCCAAATTTTACTCTTCTGATGTGCTTGTAAGCTCCCCAACCAGTATTATTCATAGCCATAATTTATTGAAAACCCTCATATTTATTCTTTCCCACATATCTCTATCTGTATTCATTATCCCTTCCTTTAGAACTACTCTAAGATTTCACCTCATTTTACCTCTGCCCTGAATCTTTAATTCCACTGACATTTTATGCCTTCTACTTTCTTTCATTCCACTCTTGGTGGGACAGCCTTTAGACATTGGCAGCCAGCTCTCTGGAATTTATTCCCTAAGTGCTTGCTTCCTTTTTTAAAATCCTTTTTGCAATCCATCACTTTGTCAGAGCCTTGAGTTACATTTCCTTATCTTTCCGTTTATTGGCATGATGTTCGTTTTCCTTCTGCCTGAGTGGAAAGTGGCTGTGAGACAGTTTTTTAGATGAAAGATGTTGTGTAAATGCTCATTATTGCTGGTGTCCAAATCCATACAAGCAGAAACTGGTACAAATTCCCTCCAATGCATTCACTTCCAACTTGTTGCTTTTTTCCTTTGGGATGGACACATCAATGGAAACTGATACCTTAGAGGGAATTTCTAATTCTGTGTTTATTTCTCTCTGTGCAGGATGCTTATCCAGGCCTCTAGATCTGGTCTTTGCTTTGGATGCATCTTCTGGAGTTGGAAAGGACAATTTTGATAAGGTGAAAGATTATGTGAAAAGTGTTATCACTCAGTTTGAGATTAATCGTGACATTACCCAAGTTGGCCTTGTGATTTATGGCAGCAGATCTAGGACAATTTTTGGCCTTGATGCTTTTGATTCAGGTACTAATCTCCAGAAAGCAATTAGTCTGGTCCCTTACTTGGGTGGAACTGCCTCCACTGGCAGCGTTCTCCTTCACATTTATGATGATGTCTTGAGCATCCGACAAGGAGCACGACCTGGTGTGAACAAAGTGGCTGTAGTACTTACAGACGGGGCAAGTACTGATGATGCAGCCGTTCCTGCCCAGACCCTGAGGAATAATGGTATCACAGTCTTCGCTATAGGAATTGGTGACGCACAGAAGGAATCATTGCTAAAGATTGCTGGTTTTGCTACTCACATGGTCATGGTGCCGTCCTATGAAGATTTGAAATATTTTGAAGATATTGTTGTCCACAGATTGTGTGAAGGTAATTGCCCGAATCTTTTGGAAAGCATTTGGAATGTATTTTTACCTGCTCCACACATCAAATTAATGATTATTATTTATCGTCAGATTTAGAACTGACAAGAGATCGGTTTGATTTAAAATAAAGTGAGTCCAACCCGTACCAGGGAAGAGATGCAGGAAATTCTCAATTTGGTCTCATTGTGAGTGGATTGTTGCAGTGATACAAATGGGGTGGTCATCTCTTTTGGTTGGATGGCTGGTTTACGATGCAGAATGACAGTTACAGAGTGGGTTCAGATCCCACACTGAATGAGGTTACCACCTTCTTTCTCAACTTCACCCCTTGCCTGAGGCATGGTGACCGTCAGGTTAAACTGCTACCAGTCATCTCTCTCTAATGAAAGAGCAAACCTATGGGATTATGGTGACTTTACCTTTTTATCTTACAGTTATAATTAACCTTTCGGTATCTGGGGTTAAAGAGGTGAAATATTGGGTAGCAATCTCACTGTTCGATCACAATCCAACAATTCTTATTGCAAATATTCATAGCTGGGCAAAATATTGAGAAGGTATTAGGTTTGGTTTTGATGTCTTTCCCCATCCTGTCAATTGCTGACTTTATTGCAGTATACTGGTGAATAATGGTCAGTGGGGGAAGTGTTGGAGTGTACCTGACACCCATGGCAACAAACCCCAGTAAAACACCAATGGCTTCAGTAGGAGAATAGAAGAGAATTCACAGTAGTGAACATACTTTACAGGAGACCATTGGATGTGATTTTCACTAGCAGTCTAAGTTTTAACCTTTAGACTCCAGAGAATTACAAGCATATTGAACAAGCAGGTCTGTGAGCATGCAGAAGGAAATACTAAAACAAATAAGACATTATTAATACTTTGCCTTGCAATGGTGTCAGAAAATACTAAAATCATCAATGCACAGACAGACATCAGGCTTTAATAAACTATAAACGTAAAAAAGAAACAATGACTCAGAGCCACTGAATGTCAATATTCAAAATCGAGACAAATATATTAAATACGTTGACCATTTCCCCTAAAACCACAACAATGCACAAGGGAAAGCAAGCACAAAGAGAGAGAGTAGCAGATAAAGATATTGTCACAGAGATACAGAATATAGACACAGATGAGCCATAGTTGGAAAATGAAGCAGACAAAAATCACACAGCAAGTTAACTCAGCATGCTCAACTGCATCACCAATCAGTAATAAGTACCAAGGAAAAATGAAATAAAGAACTGTGGATGCTGAAGATCTGAAACAAAAACAGAAATTGCTGGAGAGACTTCAGAATCTTCAGTTCTGAAGAAGGATCACTGGACTTAAAACATTAACTCTGCTTTCTGTCTAGAGATGCTGAGATTCTCCAACAACTTCTGTTTTTGTTTAAGTACTGAGGGCTTCACTAATGCAGTTAGATATAAAATGCCATCTATTAAAATGATAAACTTCTATAATTGTCTCCAGCTCCATAAGGTTCCAAGAGCTCTGACTTTCTCCAATTTGAACTCTTATGTATTCCCTTTGTTCCCCACATTGGTCACTGTGCTTTTGGCTGTCTAGGCTCAAAGATCTGAAATTACCATCATGAGGCTATGCCATCTCCTTTAAAAACTCCTTTCAGACTTACCATCTGACTAAGTTTTCAATTTGTCAATGTTTGTTTAACAGTGCAGCACTATGGATATTTTCTTGACACAAAAGGCATTAAATAAATGTGAGTTATTGTTGTAAACATGCCATGTTACAAATGTTAAAGAATTGCTGGAAGTCATGATTCAGAATTTATAATCTGAATAAACATAGGACAGAGGTGTGGGTTAGTGGGAAAGGCATGGAGGCTAGATTTTCCCGAAGCAAATAATATTACTTATTTCAATGAAAATGTAACAGCTTGAAATAATAAGACTACAGAGGTCCAGTCTGATACGTGGTATTTATTTTCAAAGTTTGAGACTGGATCATATATTTGAGCTTTCTAAAACAGGAACAAGTTTGATTTATTTCAATGCAAATGCACTTTTTTTTGTGATGCTCCTTACAAAATGAATATTTGAGAAAGGACAAGAAAGGTTCATTTCAGCATGGAGTAACTTCCATATTGTACAATTGAAAATTCCACCTTTCTCATCCTGTGTATGTACAGTCTTCTGAGGTAAACTAAAAAAAATCCAAGGGAAGAACTCTGTTCAATTTTGAGAAAGGAAACGGGAAGTTCCTCTCTGACCTGCAAAGTGAATCAAGTTCACTCAAGGAGATTAGGAGGCCTCTCGGTTTCACCATTACTGGTCCATTTTCTTTCGACATGTAACTGTGCATGCCAGCTCCCTTTTGAATGTTTGCAGTAAGTCCTCACTCACTGCAATCGCTGAGCTCTTACTTGAGAGGTTGACTGCACGCTGTGAAAAGTTCCACCGAAAGTTAACTTCATGCCACCTTAGGACAGAATCTAAATAAATATATTTTTAAAAGCGGTCGGGAAAGAGTGAGACAATACCACTCCACCATGATATAACATCAGCCAATATAAACACATTGCTCTTGTGCTTCCAATTTAATCATATTAAACAGTATTCTTTAATATATTAAGTTTCAGTTAAGTAAATATAAACCAGCCACAATACTAACAAAAGAGATCACATGTAAGTTAATAAGTATACTGTAAACCCAAATATAGAAAACACTAGAAGCAGTGTAATTATGTAAGCTATAATCTAATATAGATGGAAACTTGTGAAATTTGGTTAAAGTTCTACTAAAATGTATTATTGAATAAAGAGTGTGCCAGTCAGTTCCATTGAGTTCTCACATTGACCTGCTACCTTTCATCTGTTCTAAGGATAATTAAACTAATCATTTCAAAGTGCAGCATCTCACAGAGAAAAAACTAAACAAGATCTGCCTCTCTTTTCTACATCTACTAGAAATTACCCTGACACTTTCCTGAAATCAACTGTAATTTACGTTTTGGCTTTGATGATCAATAGGAATATCAAGATTAATTAAGAAATCCTTTGAAAAAAAGTGTTTGATAAAATAGGTTGTGAAACCTACCTCAGTAAGTTGCCCTTTTAAGGTTGTTTATTGTTTATTCATTTTGTCTCACATAAGTCTGGAGGTCCCATGTGAATAAAATTAACTATGATTTTTTTTCAAATTTGAGCTTTGATAGCTTATTTTTGTTAAAAGGGTTCTTATCAGAATTTAGATTAAATTCTCATCAGGAGATATTTTAATTGAGCCTGTTACATTTTTGATAATTGACAGTATTGCAAAAGTGGCAACACACCGAAAAGTGCTTAATTCATTGTAAATTGGACATCCACCAAGCATGAAATTTTCTATATGAATGCAATTCTTTCTTATTTTGGCTAGGCATGGAAAATTTGAGGTTTATTTTCACCTGCCAACTTACCGAAGGCATGCATGGAAAAGCAACTTGAACTCAAGCAATGCCTGAACTTGGGAAATAAATTCTGCAACTTCCCCTGGGGAGTCCCATTGCAAATGAGAGTGGAGTTCCGCTGAGATAAACTGCAGCTTAAGTCATCTAGACAGCTTACTGACTGCTTAAAAAACTTTAGAACATTTTTAAGAGCACAGGCTCCCTCCTTTCCTCAATAGACAGGTTTCATTTGAGACATGCGAGGTGGTGGTAGGGTTGGGGAGATTGCAACATGGTGCACCTCTTTTCTATCTCTGCTCTCCCCACATCCGTTTAAAAATTATGTTTGTGGTGTTGCATTGCAGTTAACAAAAAAACTGCCCGTGTCAGATCATACCAGTAATAGGGTTCATTTCTGTGGTAAAAAGAAGTCAACGTTTGAATGGGATCAGAGTCTTTCACAAGGATAAATGCCTTGATTCAGCTAATCTGAGATGCATCACAATCTTCCTACCTTGTTGAACACTAAAGGAAGAACCCCCCGAACTTCATAATTGGGCACAATTTTGTGGAGGGCAGACGCCATTAATATGCTTCAGGCGGGTGAGACAACTTGTGTAAAAGTTAAGGAAATGGCTATTGAAGTAAAAGGTTTGGATGCCTGCAAAATGAAGCTTTCCTTCCTTCACACAATTCAATTGGAGAACATTTTGAAGTAGTGGAAGAATGTACAATGTGATTAAATCTGACAGGGTGAGATGTGAGCACATGCTGTGTAGCTGTAAATGTGGTTAATCCACCCACTGGGCATGGAAAGGTTTAATGGGCTTCCATCACCTATAATGTGAAGTAATGTCACCCACAATCACCAAATCCGAGTATTCAACATGGATGTCAACCTGGAATTGAGGGCTAGAGCTCCAATTCCCACTCACCGGGAGCCTCTGGAGAAGAGATACTTCCCAAAACCTGTAGTCCAGATTCTGGAATATGACCACTGAGCCAAAGAATTACTTGAGTGTGAAGTTGAGTATGGCAAAGTGCATCCGGATGGAAAGTAACTAACTCATTCTGAGTTGCATTTTGATCTCTGTTTCTTTCACTAGTTTAATTTTAATGATTCTGTAATAACATAGTATATGACAGCATAAGTGTTCAAAAATTATTTGATTAATGTGGATCTACCTCTTTGATCTGTCTTTGACATGGCCACAAAGCTAAACGAAAAATATCGGTTTGTACTTCAATAAGTACCCATTTGTACTTCAAAACGTTGAGATTGTATTTGAAATTTGAGCATTCTCTTTCAGTCTACTAAATGAAAAGATAAGATTTTACAACCTGCATCATTAAAGAGAACTTACCCTGTTTAAGATCTACACACATTACAGTCCTCTGTTGAGTATTCAGAATTATGCAGCTTAATGTTGCAGAACTCCAAACCTTCTAATGTTGTGATTGAATTGTGAGAAAAATACTGTTCATCCTCTGCAGTTTGGAATAATATTTAATTGTAGTCCTGTATATCTTGTTTCTTTTACTTGAAAGCCAAGACAGCTTTATAGAAGGTCTTTGAAGACATTGGATGAGAAATTAAGTTCAATAATACCATTTATTTTGGCACTACAAATGTCCTTCAAGCTCTAAAACTGCGTTCACTGCACAGGGAGCACATTTGTCTTGGTTGCTGAGTTGGTGCAGGCATTAGTGTGTGTGGTGGAAGCATACAGAGATCATGATGTTATTGATGCCAACTGATGGCTGCAGCACTTCCTCTAACTATTCACAATGTTCAGCAGCAAGTAAGACAGTAACTAGCCTTTGTGAATGGATCTTTAACGGTTTAGTTGCTAGTTAGTATCTTCTCGCTGTTACTACAATTCATAAGTGCTCACTGCTTATTATAGTTGCTTCGTGTTGAAATATTGTACAGGGGCTGAAGTGGAAGATGCTAAAGGAATTTATTGCTGACTTAAAGGCTTCTGCACAAAGTAATTGCCTCCAGACACGATGCAATAGTAAACCTTCTTTTGGAAGCAAGAATAATTGGAGAATGAGCAAAAGCTAAACTATATAAAGAGAGAGGAAGAGGAAGTAGTGAAGAGGTCTTAGCAGGAGGCCATATGTTTAGAGATCGATTCTCCTACATGAGCAAAAAGCAGTAGCATAGTTGGGATGATGCTGGACTAGTAATCCAGAACCCTTGGCTAATGTTCTGAGGACATGTTCTCAAATCCCACCACGGCAGATAGTGAAATATGAACTCAGCAAAAGAAAACTCTGGACTTTAAAGCCGATCTGATGTAATTGTGTAACTGCTGCCAAAAAAGTGTTTTTTAAAAAAAAACCCATCTGGTTCACTAATGTCTTTGAGGAAAGGATATCTGTCATTCTTATTTGGTCTGACTCCAGATCCATACCAATGTAATTTACTCTTAAACAGCTCTCTTAAATAGCCTAGCAAGCCTCTCATGGGCAACCACTGTTAGCCTCGCCATCTGCTGAAAGAATAAAGAAAAAAAGATACAAAATTGTAAGCCCAACTTCCAAGCATTAACAGCTCTGTACCTATTGTTCTTTCAATCACAGACTAGCACTGTGTTAATTTGCTATGCAAAAATACCACTCCAAAATAATTGTTCAAAAAAATTTGAGTGAAATCATGCCGCGTGCAAAAGTTGACTAAGTTACAACTATGATTGAGGCTGGAGGAGTGCAGTGATGCTGCAGCCTGCCTAGTCCATAAGTCATGACATAAAATAAAAATAACTTTTAAAATGTTATCAGTTTTTAAAATAAAAAGATCTGTCTGCAACTTTCTTAATAAGCATAATTATTGGCTTATTATCAAAACAAAACTTACTCAATGACGATGCAATAACATACGCTGTCATATAGTAGCAACAAATGTTATCCCTCCAAATATCCCCAAAACACACACACACACAAAGAAACACTTGATGAAAAGGGGAAAGCAAAGGACTTCTCTGCAGAGATCAGCTTTCTGAAAAAATAAAAGTTTGGCAAAGTTGGATGGCTCAGTGTTTAGCACCACTACCTCATAGTGCCAGGGTCCCAGGTTCAAGCCTAACCTCAGGTGACTGTACAGAGTTTGCACATTCTCCCTGTGTTTGCATGGGTTTCTTCCCACAGCCCAAAGATGTGTATGTTAGGGGATTAGCTATGCTATCGTGCCCAGGGATGTGTAGGTTTGGTAGATTAGCTATGGGAAATGCAGGGTTAAAGGGATAGGAGGGGTGAGTCTAAGTGGGATGCTCTTTGGAGAGTTATTTAGCGAAATAGCCTGTTTCTACACTGTTATTCTTGGAGGCAAAAAGTTCATTCAGTTATTCTTCCAGAAGAACAATTAAGTTTCACTCTGAACTCAACAGAAGGATTCTTCTCTCAGAAATGAGAGAGATCAGTTTGGAACCCTTCCTTGCAGGCTCCTTGACCCTAACTGAAGACCAGTTACCAATCTCTCCATCCACTCACTGTTTGCACAACCCCAGTAGGATCTACGTCAAAGCAAGCAGTTATCACCTGTCCTGTGATTTCAAGGAAGCCTTGTCTTAAAAAAAGTCTCCAATGACTACAATGATCTTTTGACAACTTCTTTTAAATAAACCACTCCAGTTATTTCCAAACAGCTTGAAATAAATCCTTTTTTCAACAAACCTCGAAAACGTAAGTTCCCCAGGAAACATGAAATGTGAAATGTCTTCCATACAGCAGTGCTCTGCATTCCCTTAGCACTTTCTGGATGCCTTTGCCTGACCTAGTGCTCCCAGGCAGTATTACGTTTCTGGCTGCAGCATGGATGGTGGAAGGTTGCTGATGTTCAATGGAAGCAACTACAGACAACCTTGGAAAAACAACCTGCTCAGGACCCAGTTCAGCATGTGTAGCAGCAGGCTGGGCTAGCTGGGTGACGGGCAACAGTGAGGGCAATGGATACAGCAGAATTCATGTGTGACCCATCTATCCAGAAAATTGGCACCACGTTGGCCTCGCTGCCTCCCTGCTTTTCTCCCACATGTGGCTGGTGTCTCACCACATACCCCCCACTGATGTCTCCCACCAATGAACAGTGCAATTAGCAAAACTGAATGCAAAGATCACTCAGATAAACAACAGACAACACACAGTTGGTGTGCTGCCTGTATTACAAGCTCTGGCTGGAGATTTAGCACATGTTGCATTCCCCACATCCATTTTTGGGGGCTATTCAATTTATCCAACAATATGGTTGTCTCTGGATGTGCGAAAGTAATTGGGAAATTGAATTTGAAATATTCCTTTATGGATTCTAATTCCTGAATTAATAAGTGGTATGACGTCATCAGACACAATGGAAATTTCCTGCTGCATGCCCACTTTTCAATACCCCAAGCAAGAGATTTGTCTCTTCCCAGTCCATTTATAGCCCTGTTTTCTTTTGAGCTCAGTTTGTACTTTCATCTAGCAAAATGCATTCACATCTCAATTAGGAAAGGCTAGCACTTCAAAATGTGCAGTTTAACATTTATAAAACAACAGTAACCAAAGATTGACAGGACAAATTCACAGTGCATTGTGTGAAGGTCTATGTGCTGAGGCCTAAGTGTTTTCATTTGGCAAAATCCCTAGATTTTAGTTGCTCAATGTTTTGCAGTTCTTTCCTGCACCTGGACTGGAAGTGATCTATATAGTCTGTGTATTAACCATTTTGATTGACATTGGAAATGGTCAGCCTGAAGAAACCACCTCCCCCACCACCACCAGCACCTTCCCCCCCCCTCACCACCCCCACCACCATTTAACTTGCAACTCCATCATCCCTTGTGTTTAAAAAGAATTGAGTGAAAAGAATAAAAAAAGTTGGTCTTCAAGACAGAAAGAACCACAAAGAATAAAATATAATACTTATGTTTCAGGAGTTGAGTGATTATGTTAAGGACAACATTAATTGATGATATTCCTATTTCTTTTTTAACAAATCTCCTGTATTGTCTCAACAGTGGCCAAGGCACCAATTAATCTGTGCAAACCCAATCCATGTATGCATGGTGGAGAGTGCATAATGCACAATGCAAGTTATCGTTGTGAATGCAAAGGTTGGGAGGGAGTGCATTGTGAACACAGTATGTATTCTCAGTTTCTGTAGTTATTTGTAGTTTCTTTGTTTGAAAGGTAATGTCAGTGACCAAAACTTTTTCTTAATTACTACCATGCCAATCATACCTCTTAAGCTTAGATAAGGCTGAGGCGAAGTCTAGTTCCTTCCCTGCTTCCTTCAGCATCAACCACCATCTTCAAAGGTGACATTGTCCTTTATAATTACTGGATCTGGTCAGTTGAAGATATCTGTGGAATTGTCAATGCCTAGCACAGCAACTCTACAGATAAAGCACTAGGAATGCACAAAGTTCTACAGAGCACTGAGGCAATGGGAACAAACCAATGCACCGAGGCCCTTCTTGATTGGTGAAGCTGTACCACATTTATACTGTAACTTATAGAGGGATCAGCTACATTCATGCTAAACTGAAACTGGCTCTGCACTACAAAAAAGAACAAAGATGAACTTGTATTTGAGCCTCAGTTCTAATTCATGAGGATATAGTATTTAGAAGTCTAGTTTGTTTTTACCTGGAGATTGTGTTAAGTCCTCACATGATTTTTTTTATACTATGAATTAAATTTTTAGGTAAGGTTTTAAAGTTACTTATAAACAGGATTGTAACTTTGTTCTCATATCACACAGATGAAATCTTATTATATAATTTTCTTCAAACTTTATCTATGGTTATTTCTAGCATCAGCTTCCAGCCCTAATTTTCAATCCTCTTGCATTATCAGTGGAATATTCATGCAGTTAACTCACTAATTCTTCCACATTAGACTTATTTTCCTTGGGTTGTTTGATATCACGTTCTTTTCCTCTTTGAGGATCAGAACAAGTATTCTCTTCTTAGGTCCCTATCCATCTTATTAAGGCACAAGACAATGGCACAAGTTCGGAATTTCTGGATTGTCTAGCTAAGATTTTGCCATTTTTCCTATCCTACCTTCCTTTCATACTTATAAGTACACTGCATCGTGTTGCATCCATGCTTTGTGTTGCCTTCCCTTGTCTTTTCTTGCATTGGCCCCTCACACAGGGATATCAGGCTCATGTTACTACTGTCTTGCTATGCCATTTAGTGCAGAAACAAAGCCAGGAAGCTTGCCACAGTCGTCCGCAGGTCTCAGGCCAGTCTGGACTTTTTCGTTCTTGTGAGTTGTTGCACTTGCAGATTGTCCATATCCATTGTAACCAAGTAAGTCTCATAACCTGAAATCCATTGACCCTTGGGGTCTCTCAGCAAAGAAGGGAAAGGCGCAAGGGATCTGTAATTCTAAATATGTAAAACATCTATATAAGAAACAACATTTGGGGCCTATCCCACCCTCGGAGTAGGAAAGTTGATCATAAGAAGCAGGAAACCAGGTGTACAGACCTGTGATTGCCACATCCTCCACAAAACTGCTTCTTCATACCACTTTTTATTCTAAAAAGCAGTACTGCTCTGTGGAAAATTGTACAATTTTTATAGATGAAATGTAATCTGGTTTTGATTCAATGCCTTTTATGTATACTAAATAACCACAGGTGTAAACAGCACGTAGGAAGGCTATTTAGTCTGTGCCGGCACTTTGCTCAGCAAGTTAAGATACAACTAAAGTTGTCCCCAATCCCCCTCCACACCCTCCATTGGGCTATCCTTTTCAAATACTTCTCCATTTTTCTTAGAAGATGCAATTGTCTCCTCTAGCTGTTCCTGGTGGCAGAATGGTCTGTGATTATTTTACATTGACGATCCATCAATATTGAATCCCCAAGTTAAAGAACATTCTATTTCTTCAAAGTAAAGTACATGAAATCTCCGAGCCTTCATCTCTCTCTTGCCATTTTCATATCTGTTATCATCCTTTGTGTCAGTTTGCAACTCTGCACCTTCAATGGTTTTAATGTTATTTCCGTAATTAAATGTACAAGTATGCCTTTTTTCTAATTTTGGTATTTTAAAAAATATATTCCTTGCCTCTTCTGTCACAGTATTGTATCTTCTACAATCTAATACTTTTTCTCTTATTCCCCGAAGTAATTTCTCACAATTTCTTTCAGACAAGCTTTCAGTTTCAGTTCCAATAGTTTTATTCCACCTGTCATTCCTCTCTAATCTCAAGGTAGACCTTCCTGAAATCCTGCTATATTAGTTTGAAACTGGGACTCCATTCATTCTTTGCTGCAAAGAACTTTGGCCCTGTTTCAATTGAAGTGAAAGCTCACAATTTTGCACAAACTTATTCCAGAAAACCTTCAAATGGCATTTGCATGTCAGGCCTCGCCTCTTGCCCCCTATTCACATCATTTTTTCTAACCCTTACAACCCAGCGTTATATGGTTGATGCTAAAATAGATGTGGCAGAAGTTAAAGGTTTGTGATCAAGGGAGACTGATGGAACCCCGATAAGCCTCAAATTCTTCTTTTGTTTTCATAAAGGAATCTCCAATCCAGAACCACGTGGCGATTTACCCAGGATACATCGGAAAAGACGTCGCAGACAGAGGAAACTGCGGCACTTAAACAGGAGAGGTAAAAGAAGGTCTCGCAAGAGACATGGACACCGAAAGAACCAAGAACTATTACTTTAAAAGGAGTCATATAATCCTGATTTACATAAACTCGATATTTCAAAGTGCACTGATGAGACCAAGTGCACAAATACCAAAAGAACTGAGTTTCAGTCTGTTGTCAACGTTTTATAGTCACGTTGCTCTTTTTCCAGTTTTACAGATATTGAAGCAAAGTTTTAAAGAAAGCTAAAACAATATTTGATAAGGTACCTACATTTCTAAAGGAACCACTGTTAATGACCCTTCTGAAGAAGGGTCTAGGCCTGAAACATCAGCCTTCCTGCTCCTCTGATGCTGCTTGGCCTGCTGTGTTCATCCAGCTCTACACCTTGTTATCTCACTGTTAATGATTTATGTTTTGATTGTGCTATCAATTGACTGCACAGGTGACCATTCAAAGATCCTCATAATTCATGGAAACTACAGAGTAATTGCAGAATGTGTCCAATGTCGCCCTGCCTTTCCTGTACATCTTTGATTGCACGGATCTTCACTCGAAAATATAGTCATAAGATTATTGCACAGTTATATTGACTGGGTCGTATAAGCTATCAAACCAGAGAATTGTTTTACAAGCAACCACTGTAGAGATTTCTGATTCAAAGCATTGAGTTGCAACATGTTACATATTTATCCCCCTTCATGTGGTCTGCTTCTTAAGAAGAATTAGAAATTTTCTGCCCTGCAGATTTATCACATGAGCGATTTCCATGTCCCATAATGCATTACACATATGAGAAAGAAATTAGTCTGCAAGCTAATGTAGAGATCACTCAAGTAAATCTGATTAATTAACTGAACTGTCAGTTTCAATCAACTGGAAGGCTTAGATTTCAACACCAAAAGGAGTGAAACTGTCGATCATTTTAGCCTATGCAGTTAAGATCCATTTTAGGAGATTGGTTAAAATAGAGTGCATTTTTTTTAAACAAAGAATGTGGACTTTGGTGTCTATGTTTGATCATTTGAACTGAGTATACAGTTAAGTACAAAAATAGTTTATAATTAAATATATCTATCAATGGCACAAAACCTCTTCTGTGACTGTATTCCATTTCCAGCAAAGCAGATCACTTTAACTCGATTACTCTTTCTAAAGTTTTGACTTTCAGCAACTACAGCAAATTGCATTTATGGAATGATTTTAAAATTGTAAAATATCCCAGGTGTTTCACCGAAATCAGCCTAAATATGGCAAAGCCAAGTTGTGAGCCATTGAGATTTGCTTTAAACAGCTTATTTTGCATCTTTATGTGATAACATTACTTTGTGTTAGAGACACTGGGACCTAGATATAATTAGGAACAAATTCTTGCATTCTGACTTGAACTGTAGTCTGTATATCATGTAGTTTTCTCTCTATATATGTTGAAAAAGCTGTAAGTCTCAAGCTTGAACTAGTGTTCATTTTATTTAACAACATAACACTTGTTATCTTGTAATAGATATTTATGATAGGCCTGAGTGAATTGCATTCTGAACTAGGATGACAGTACTACTTATCATTGCTATGTAATTATACTACAGACTGTATATAATAGTTACTTGGAGACAAGCGTGCCATTTCTAGAACTACTTTGGAGTGTGCATGCCTGAAATCCACTCCAATTGCTTGATGTCAGAAGTTACATCCTGGGCTGTTCCCTGTCTCTTTCTTGGCTGTATTTATATTTGTTGCAGGTCCGTTCTTGTCTTAGTCTCCTTGGTTTCCTTCCACTTGCTGCTAACAGTCCTGTTCTTTATTTTGACTTGATTTTCATTAGTCGTATAAAGCGAATAGCTAGACGCAGGGATACTAATTTCCAGGAGACTGCAGCACAGGTGTTGTAATAAGTTCAACTGCAAGTCATTCCTCCTCCACAGAGCATACTCCTTTTAGTGTGTGAACCAGTTTAAACATGAAGGTAATTTAAGAAATCAAATGTCAGAGCATTGTCGATTTCTATACGGTAACCATGTGTGATATGGCTGAGGAAAGTCATTCAGCTGCAGTGCTTCCATTTAATTTACATGATCTCTCAAAGCAGCTTTCTGGCTTCGGTGGTGTTATATAATAATAAGTAATAAAATATACTATATAAGTGTACACAAAGCTACACAAAACTAAAATCAACATAAGCACTGTTGAACTGAACCATATTGTTTACTATGGGCATTCTATAGATACCGAGCAAATTGTTGCCTTCCACACATGCAAAACATTCATCTTTGCTATTTTTCCAGATGACCACTGCTAACACCTTGTGGTATTTGTCACCCCTACCAGTATGTGGTACTAGGTAAGGGTTGTTTGAAGAGTTCACTTTCAAGTGAGTAGTAGACAATTCATTTAGAAGCAAAGTACGGTTGTTACTGGAGATCCGATACAAAATAGAAAGTGCTGGATCAACCCAGCAGGTCAGGCAGTATCCGTGGAGAGAGAAACAGAGTCTGATTTGACTTCTTCAGAACCATTAGTCTCTGTCCCTTTAATTCAGTCCCTATTTTAGGAAATAATTCATGAGCTTATTTTTATATATTATGTAGTTTGATATTGTTATTTATCATTAAATACTGTCACAAACCAAAACGATTGGGAGAATTAAGGAGCAAAGTGGAGTTGGTTGGAGCATAAATGTATCTGGTGTACAGGTGACATGATAAAAAAGCATACTGAAAGTGATAGTGCACCTCCACTGGGGGTAAGATGTAATTGTAGACTGACAAATTTATGTGGCAATTTTGATTATAAATGTAGGGAAACAATTTATAATGGAAAATTTACACAGAATAGAGACAGAAATGTGATAACAGGCAGTAAAATTTTACATGTATGTGAAACTAAGATTAAAGACTAGGACTAATGAAATAGTTCCTCATTGAGAACTTACAAATGACCAGTCTTTACAGTAATGCTATACATACCCTCACGTATCTAAACTTTGCGCACAATATATGAGACTATATCAGTCAGGCAGGTCTTTAGTATTTTTTCACACTAATCTAGCTGTTCTTCTCTTTTGCTCTTTGAGTTAATAAAATTGTTGACCATAATTTAAAAGTAAACAATTTGCTCATGTTTTAGATTTTTATTCTATTTCCTACTGTAAGCTTTCTCTTCTAATTCAGAGGAGGGAACACAATTTTCTATGGTCCTGTCAAGATTTTATTGCTATTCTGCTCATCAGTCAGTGGGAGGTGAATATCGATGATGACGGCGCAGTATTACCTTCCTCCCAGGAAGTCAACAAGGTCAACTACCCAATGCAATGAGTAAGGCAGCTGAATTAAAATAGTGACCAAAATGAGGTTTAATTTCTACTTGGACCTGTAGTTCAGAATTGTTTGTTTTTCATTTGGACAACTTCTCAGACTTTTAATTTGAAATGTTAAAAATGAAGATACTACAAACAAATTAGCAAAGTTGAAGTTTTAAAATGGGAGTTATAATTTTAAAAAAAAATACTAACTACACCTTTTGTTTGTTTTTCAGCCAAGATTTTAAATAAGCAACATTTAGTATAAACTGAGAATACATTGTTATTAATTACAATACATTGTACTCTTAGAAAAATAGTGTGATAGTATTTTATATATAAAATCCGGTATTCACGTATGTATATCATGTTTATTCCGTAGTGTTAGATGTGCAGCGTCAAGGATTTTTTTAATAGTTTGTATTTCCGAGAATTTCAGAACGAAATTAAGCAAACTTGTAATAAGTCTAAATGACAAACACAATGGTGCTATATACTATTAGATACCAATAAAATAAATTGGCCACCAAATGCTGTCGCGTTTTGATTTTAGCAGTCTTATGGTTACATTCATTTAACAAAGTAGCAGCAGAAGTAGACCATTCAGCCCATCAAGTCTGCCCCAACATCCAATGAGATCATGGCTGATGTGTGATAATCTTCAATTTTCGTGCCTTTACCCCATAACCCTTGATTCCCTTACTAATTAAAAATCCGTCTATTCTAGCCTTGGATACACTTAAAAACCCAGTCTTGACATCCACAGATTCATTAGAGAGGGGGAATTCTTTATCACTGTCTTAGATGGGTGATACCTCACTTTGAGATTATGCCGTTCAGCCCCACACTCTCCCACTTGGAGAAACAGCCTCCCTGCTTCTATCCTGTAAAACCCCTAAGAAACATACATGTTTCAATAAGGTCATCTCTGATTCTTCCAAACTCCAAAGAGTACGAAAACAGAAGTTGCTGGAAGCTCAGCAGGTTTGGCAGCATCTGGGAAGACAAAATCAGAGTTAACGTTTCAGGTCTGGTGAGGAAAGGTCACCGGACCGAAAACGTTAACTCTGACTTTTTCTTCACAGATGCTGCCAGACCTGCTGAGCTTCCAGCAACTTTTGTTTTTGCTCCTGATTTACAGCATCTGCAGTTCTTTCGGTTTCCAAAGAGTACAAGCCCCTCTCCTCATTAGACAATCTATACATATGTGGAAATTCTAATGAATTTTTTTACTATTAACAGTTAATAACAGTATTATTAATAATTTTATATTATTAATTATTAATGTAATTAATATTTCTTTTTGTTTCTAAGGCAGGTTCCTTAGCCTTACCTATTTATACCAACCCAAGCAGGAAGTTATATTCACAGTGTTAACTAGAATTCCTTGCAGGTATCACAAAGAGCAATATTGAAGGTTATGTCCATTTTGTTTATGCCAAGAGGAAGGGCCCAAATTTGAAACACAATCCTGACATAAATAAGGCACATTACAGCATGCCATCTTGATTGATTTGCTACACCTAACCTAGTTTGATTACTAAAACATTTTTTAAAATAAGTTTAATGAAAGGGACAGATATTTGGTCAAACAATTTTACCCTTTTTTAATACAACCCTATTTACCAATTTTCTCACTTATGTTCCTTGTTATTTAAACCTCACCACGTCAGCAATTTGCCTGGATTTGTTAAGTCCCTTAAGCTTGAAATCTCCTTTACAAGGAAAGGAAGTTCAACCTCCACAAACATATGATCAGAACTTAAATCCTTAGCTGGCAATTCAGAATCAGTAAACAGAATACTGTGGATGCTGGAAATCTGCAATAAAAACAGAAAATGCTGCAAATATTCAGCAGGTCAGGCAGTATCTGTGGAAACAGAAACATTAGGCAGAATATTCCCAGCCACTGAATATGGGCAATAAGGAGTCAGATGGGAAAATATGGAAAGATCTGAAAAATGAGATTCATAATGTCAAGAAAAGTCTGGTTCTGCAATGAAGAATTTCACAAATAAGTAGAGAGAAGCCTGTTTACATGCATTAGCGCGCAATTAGTACCCAATCTAACCTCATTGATATATATTTCCTTATTCACCCACATGTTGGAGAGAAGCTAAACAGTGACAATTGCTGAAAGCAGATACCTGGAGACGCAGTTCCTCTGGGCCTCCAACTTGGACAGCAATCTCCAACATCTCAGGGCACACATTCCATGGGCAGCAACTGCCTGCATCGCCCATCGACAGTGGTTGGCATCAGATGAGTGAGCTTCTTTCCCTTTTCGTGGCACATCTCTGACCTACTTACAAGACAGTTTTGCACTTCAAAGCTGTGCTTTAGTGTGCACTGTTACCTTTCATGGAATGCTACTGGCAGCACGGTTTGTGCACAGGAACAGGTGCCAAGCTCATGGACTAGACCAGGGTGCACTCCAAGGCTCCTGACTTACTCTCAGCATTCAATCATCTTGCACATACTTGGAAGCTCATAGTATCTCTGCCTTGCCTTACCTTTGTGCACTTTGGGAAAGAAAATGTAATTGCTGATGCCTTTATCTGAATGTAACCAATTGTAAATTTAAGAACGTAACCCCAAGGAAGTTAAATAATGGTTAAGAATCTGGCGGGAGAAAGAATGTAAGTTTACAATAGAAAGCTCATTTATTATCATCTGTATTTTTTACCATAAAAATGTGAAAAGTGTTTAGGTTGCCATTGCACAGTGCCTAAATTAATAACAGAAAGGTATAGATAAGAAAATAATTTTAAAAATTAAGACAATGTCCATCTTAGCTTAATTCCTGGTTCTTGGGTTTGGAAAAAGACAGGACCGCTGCAAGACTGCCACACCGCGCTTATGGAATACCAGGCCCCAAGCCACCGCCAGAGCCGCCCCAAGGACCAATCCGATCAACAATCCTAGGGAAGAAGATGTTACAAAAGCTGTCCAAAGGAATCCCAGGCTGAAACCACCTCAATGCCGAAAGGGGCTGCCAACGTCCACTGTTGTAGTAGCCAATACCCGGGTTTGTGTGCTCACTCCTCCACCAGCTGTCTCACTGCCATCTGTTTGTGAGTTTTGTGTTTTGTTTGTTGTCTAAGTGTTACTAATCTTGTCATGAAACTCATTTTCCATTAAAATGGCATTTTTGAGGGTGGAGGCATAAGAGAACCCTTACTGATTTTCATTATTTTTATTTTATTGCTTTGAATTGTGAACTTGAAATGAGTGGTAGGTTTTGAGTCAGCTTGGGTTAAAAAGAAAATAATAGACCAAACAATCTTTGTTTGCTTGTGAGATCAGGCCTCGAGGCTAATTGCAGGCTGAATCTTGGTTAAAAGGTTCTAATAGAAAGAAGTTGGCTACTAATGGGGGAATTGATTGTACCACGCCTGAAAGAGACCCTATGTTCAAGCAAATAGCAGTTGTTCAATCTTAATTGAGGTCGTGGATGGAGTTGTTCAGTCTATCAAGGCAGAAACATAATTAAAGTTTTTTTTTGGAGAGATAGTTCTGGGCTGCTGCTGAAACAGCATAAAGATTTGAAAGCTCCCTGCCTAATCTGATACAGCAGCTTCCAGAAGCCCAAAGAGTAGAAAGCTGAGTTAGAAGTATGGCTGCCCTTGTGTGGGTGAACCAAGAAGGTGACCCTGATTACATTTCAGGAAAAAGAGGCAGGGCGTCCACATTTATGCCTGTGAACTAATGCATTGTGAAGAACATTAAAAATAATTCACCAAAATGAAGTACGTGGATTATGGTAAGCTCAATAATAGGTATTTTGATATTCAATGGCATGTTGATATTAAGAAGGAGAAGGTATTGAGTTGTCCTGAAAAACATTATAAGGCAAATAAGCCCCCAGGCCTGATGAAATCTATCTCAGGATAGTGAAGAGGCAAGGGAAGAGATTGCTGGGGCTTTGACAGAAGACTGGAAATTAGCCAACGTTGTTCCTTTGTTTTAAAAAGGTAACAGGAGTAATCCAGGAAATTTTAGGCAGGTGAGCCTTACATCAGTGGTAGGGAAATTATTGGAGAAGATTCTTAGGGACAGGATTTACTCGCATTTGGAAACAAATGGACTTATTACGGAGAGTCAGCATGGATATGTAAGGGGAGGTCTTGTCTCATAAATTTGATTGAGTTTTTTTGAGGAAGTGATAAAGATCGTGACGCTTGGGCAGTGGATGTTGTCTACACGACTTTGCTAAAGCACTTGACAAGGTCCCTCATGGTAGGCTGGTCCACAAGGTTAAGTCACATGGCATCCACTGAGTTCATAACTTGGTGTGTATTAGCTATAAGAAGAGGTTGGACAAACTTGGATGGTTTTTCTAGAGTGTCAGAAGTTGAGGGAACACCCTGATAGAAGTATATAAAATTATGACAGGCAAGGAGAGGGTGGATAGTTGGAGTCTTTTTCCAGGGTGGAAATGTCAAATATCAGGGGGCATAGGTTTAAGGTGAGAGGAGAAAAGTTTAAAGGAGATGTGTGGTGCAAGTGCCTGGAACAGTGCAGCCAGAGAAGGTGGTAGAATTAACAACATTAAAGAGGTATTTAGACAGACACATGAACAGACAGGGAATAGAGGGATATGGACCATGTGCAGGCTGATGAGATTACTTTAGACTGGCAACATGATTGACACTGACATTGTGGGCCAAAGGATTTATTCCTATGCTGTACTGTTCTATGTTCTAATCTGGCCAATTTTGTTATTTTCTTTTTTTAAATCCCTTAACTATGTTTGTTTGTTTGTCTTTTTTGTGAATAGGGGAAGAAAACAAATGTTTTCAAATTTAAAGCACAAGCGTTAATCAGTTAACCGTGCTATTTAATTTTCTCTCTGCTAATGTTATTTTGTATTTCATAAATTGTTATGTTGTTCACTTAACATAGAAAACCGATTTCTGGAAATTAATTATCTACAAAGTCTGGGATTGTTTAATAAAAAGTCTGCCTGGAAACCATTGGAGTAACTATTTAGGTATCTTCGACAGTTTAATTTTACAGAGGCAGCAAAGCTGCTTTGGATCAGCTGTCTGTCTCCATCTTGTAACAGTAGTCCTTTACAAAGTCAAGGGAGGCATTGTCAGTCAGGTGTGTGGGGACAGTTCCTGCTTGACAGAACTTTGCCTGATGCATGTTTGGGCATTAATTACGATGCCAGCCCACAGAAACCCAGGATCTTGGCATTGCCAAGTGTTTTCGCTATTGCTGAGCAGAGGATAACATGAGCAGGTACAGAGAGGTGTGCTGCATAGCTAATGAGACAAACTGCAGAGAATACCAAGAGAAAACTCACTTGGGCTCACAGAAATCAACCCTCTGCAAAAATTCCCCGAAATTGATACTTAGCCAATTTCTGGTAAAATTCAACCATGCTTAATGATTCAGCGCGATGACCAATTTTTCAGAACTGGGAAAAGTTAGAAATGTAATATGTTTATGAGCAAGAAATGGGACTAAGGGCAAACG